CTAGTTATGTACTAACAAAATCCTCTACACAGCTTACATTTGCACTGCATATCCGCAGTTCATTAAAAAAGAAAGAGAAGAAAAAAAAACAATAAAAAGAAATCGCATTTGTTACACTACTACACATAATATACATGATATAATTCAGATTAAAAAAATTTTATCGATAAAAACATAGGTAGTTGGGTCTTGGTTTATAAATATGTAAGTACTTTATTGATATGTAAAAAAAAAAAAAAAAGGAAAGGTAACAAATAATGCACCGAGTATTTTCCTGGTTGTAATGCGGAACAACTTAAAACACTGTACCCTGTAGTACGTTTTTAATTATAGCATTAATTGTCAAGTGAAACTTCAAAGTGCTAAAAAAGTGCATAAGTGTTTATTCATGTAAATACCTATCTGGGTCTCCATCCTTCTGCTTATAAACATAGCTGCAGATCTTATTATATTAGTCTTTGAACATAACGCTACAGATCCCGTAATGCAAAAAAGGTGCAATTTACGGCACAATATTTTTTGCGCACTTTTGGAGAGAATTTCTCCCCTTTCCAACATCAGTCAAGTATAAACTACCTTTTACTTCCTAATTCACGGCATATTATTTAACTAGTCTGTTTATTTCATCCATCTCCCAACCCTTTATAGTCGTCTCTACAAGTGATAAACTCGCTTGATTAAAATTGATAGATTGCTGAAAATTCACTTCAAGCAAGTTTATTGCCTGTAGAGACAACTAATATGTTTTACGGTGTGACCGTTGAGGCGAGCGCAGTTGTACCATCAAAACACTTGAAAAATTGATCAGCCACTTCAAACATCAAGTCGCACGAGACGTCTCGACTAGCTGTGACGTCACACGACGTCACGGAGCTCGTCGGAGCTTACGGAAACGGCCGAGCGTCTGGTTTAAACTATAGACCTAGCACAATTTTGGTCGAAAAACATTGCAGAGTTATTTCTTGTTTCTTTGAAAGATTTCTACAAACTGAAAGCTTTTTATGCTTTACGTTATTGTTTATTTATTTATCTATTTCACGGAAGCAACCGACATGACTTCGTCAAAATTCGTAAGTTTCCGGTGACGTCATTTATATCATTTCCGAAGGGCAAGGTGAAAGCCGGTGTTGTGGCATGGGGGTATTTTTTTGAATAAGGCAAGGCAAAATCATTTCGTTAAGATTTCGGTAAGAAACAATGTTCCTTTATTTTTTTTTAACTATTTTTGATTTATTTGCGCAAAGGACATTGGGTAGTGCAGGAATTCTGGGAATGTTGCACAGAGAAATTTGGCTGACGTATGTACAGATTTCAATCCGAATTTCCTCTTTTCTTACACGTTAGTCTATTGAGCTCGCTTCGCGAGCGTCGCTTCGCGACGCTCGCTGCGCTCGCTATAAATGGTTGGGAGGTGGATAAAATATACATATTGGCTACAGAATGTGTCTAGAATTAGGGAGTGAAAGATAGTTGGTTGACCGAGACTGGAAAGTGGAGAAATTCTCCCCAAAAGTGCACAAAAAAATACTGCACCGTAAATTGCACCTTTTTTTGCATTACGGGATCTGTAGCTCAAAGACAAATACAGTAAAACCATAACGCTATAGATCTGCAGCTACTTATAAACACTGATAGATGATGAAAAGTTGTGGTATTTTTTTTCTTCAAGTAGGCATATACCAAAATCTCTTCAGACTTTGTAATTTTTCAAGCCATAAGATTTTAGACATATTCTTTTTTATGACTGAGCCCTCACTGATACACAATAACTTACCTGAATCATAAAACTAATTATGTTTTCGCGCCATTTTCCGCCATTTTGAAGATAGCAGGTCGTTCCTAAACTGCCTTGTTCTTTATTAAGTCGTTCTTTGTTGAATAAGAAAATTGTATCCGACTTTCTTTTTATAAATAAAAAAATCTTGATACTTAGAATACTACCTGACGTTTTTGTTTTGGTAGTACAACTTTCTTTTATTTTCTCTCAAAATATTGTTTTAAAATGAATATGAAAAAACTTTGTCTTGCCTGTATTGAAATCATGTGGGGGGGGGGGGGGGGGGGGGGATAAAAGTTCAGCACTTGAGAAAATAATAATTTACCAGTACCATAGGAGGAAAAATTTGCAGCATTTAATTATTTTCTTATAAGCATTAAGGTCATTCTTTCTCGATCTATGATTATTTTCTTAAACAAAAGTGAGTCACGATTTTAATGTGCATGGATGAGAAAATCTTCCTTGAGGAATACATCTGAATGAGTGCATGCTTTTGATCTAAACACATGCACGTGACTTTCTGAAAAATAATTTACAGGCACATGATTCTGTGATAATTTTGTTTAACCCTTATTATAATAATGACAAAAAAAATTATTAAAGAATCAATCGAGTGCCTGTGGAAAGAAATAATAATTATATTAATTTCTAAAGATGGATTTTTCATATCTTAACTTAATCATGTTTACATTAACCCATCTGCATTAGAATTTTAATTATCATAATTTATGTTTATAAATTAACGTAATAGTGAACATCATATTAGGGCACCAAACATAAATTATCATTCAGCCCAAGATTATACAATGTAATAGACTGAAAATAAAAATCTTTTTATTCTTTCAATTGAAATAATTAACATGATTAATGAAAGAATTTATTAAACACATCTGAGTTAGGTGTGTGTTTTATTTGTGCCCCATTGTACATGTTGTTATCATTAATTTCAGTCCACAGCAGATTCTAGTTCTTTGATTTCTTGGCCTGACTGTCTCTGGTCCTTTCTGGTAAGAAGTTTATTGCACTGCCTGATACTGTTACAGATTTTCTCCACCCCCCAATCCTCTACAACCAGAGCGTGCTCTAGACCTATGGGTCCATATCGTATTCGTCGGATTTTAGAACAAAAGGCAGAGGATCGCACCGCAACTCCAATTTTGTAAACAAAGTCTCTTAAAAAAGTGTATGACTCATTCACACAGTGAACTTCCAGTGTAAACTGAGGGGGCTCAAACTTGATACACTTGACACCATATATCAAGGGAGGTGTCAGAGAATTCATTGGCTTCACAAGCCCCTGTTTCAGTAGATCATAAGCCTCTTGAGAATTAGGAATCACTCCAGCATAATTCAGCATTCTCCATTGATGCATGTTCTGAGCCAGCCCACACATCTTGTCAATGTCTGATTTACCCACGTGTTCGTAAGAATGACGCTTGATTTTGTTCGCCCACGCGGTATTGTCCAAAGTGGTCCATCCTAAGGTACCAGATAAGTGGTAAACCCTTATGAATAGTTTCTTTTCCAGATTGTCCCTCAAAGCATACGAGTCACTGTTTCTATAACCCACACAAACAGGAACAACCCCAGTACACTCATAGTCTAAACCGTCATACACAGGAATCACTTTGACATCTGAATTTCTAAACATATCTCCACAGACAAACCTATGTTTTACAGCATTTTGTTCTGTTAATGGAGGAATGATTAAATCCTTGTGTTTGCTTGAGAACAGGTGCTTGTTTTTATCTATATTGAAATCTATTGATACATCACTGGTATTGGAACTACTAGACACCAAACAAGAATGTTCTACTCTCTCTAGAGATGTGTCTGAATTACTAGAATCATCTCCGTTATCTTTTACTCTTGATTCTATGAAATCTGTAGTTTCCTCTCCAGTCTCGGAATCAATCACAGATAAACTCAGCTTGAAGCTTCCTGATTCTTCTGAGGATCTAATATATTGCTGTGCTGGAGTTTTCTTGGTCGTCAGGCTCTGTGGGGGCAACTTTGTGAGGGAAGTTTGCAATAAGTAGGCATCTTTATAGTACTTTTCTCCCGGATAACATGGTTTCTGGTTCAAGTCCCTCAACAAAATTTCCCGCAGTGCCTTACAGAGCTCTGAGTAGGAGTAGCCTGGAGGCTTGTAGATACAAAAGATACCCTGTAACTGGGACCTCCACCATGGACCAATTTTTCGAATTGGTCTTGAAAATTTTGCCATCTACAAAATAAAAATAACAAAAATACTGATATTTTCATACAGTGATCTATAGTTCAAATTTTTAAAAACATGTCCTGATTATACATGATCAAATTATTAAAATCTTTTGTTTGATGTCAAGATTATGAGGTTATCTAGGGGTTGTAGCCTTGTAGGAGCCTGTATTCGGTGCCACTCAAAATGGTAAACAAATATGGTTTGAAAAAAATGTCTGATTGAAATCACTAAAAAATGCAATATGTATAATTGTACATCAGCATGATCAGAAATGGTGTTCATGACAAGTAAAAAAACAACCTAATATTAAGGCATACTCCAAATAATGATTGCCTGAGTGTATTTACTAAAATAAGTCAATAAATACTTACCTTGCAAATAAAAATTAAAATAAAAACTCTTTATCAGGTTGGGACCAATCGCCCAAATGGGATATAATAGTCCATTTGGGATATAATATCCCAAATGGGCTATAAATTTACAGTGCAAAAATTGAAAATTTTTATTTTGGCTATATAAATCATAAATCCGCATAAGGACACTTAAAAAGGAATAACTTTTGGAAAGCAAGTTTTTCTGCAACCCTGCCGTTTGTTAGATTGATCCCCAAGAAGTTAAAGAACTTCCGAGGGATCAATCTTCTAAACAATGGACATACAGAAAACAAGTTAAGAAACATTTGAAAAAACACTTCCTACAATATTGGAAAATGAAACGTAAAGAGGGACTGGAATCTGGAAAACTTACTACTTATTTTATGTTTAAAGAAAATTTTATAATGGAAAAATATATGTACATTAAATCTCATGAAATAAGAAAATCCATTTGCAGATTTAGAATAAGTGCTCATGACCTAAGAATTGAAAAAGGCAGATATGAATCTGTAAAAAATAATGCTGGTCAAAGAATCCCCTTAGATAGAAATAAAAGAATATGTTTAATGTGTAACCAAAACAATATAGAAGATGAATATCATTTTCTTACTGAATGCCCATTATATACTGAGGAGAGAGATAAATTTTTTTGTGATATCTCATTACTAAACAAAAATTTCATATTATTATCAAAAGGAGACAAATTTCTCTGGTTAATGTCTAATGAAGATAATCTAATTATTACAAAGCTAAGTGAATATCTTGTCAAAGCCTTCAAAATAAGACATAATGCCATGAGTTTTCATAAATAATGTTATAGACACATATTTATTTGTAAACTGGTATATATGTACATTGATAATATTGACTTTGATTGCATGTTAATTAACAATTTGATAACCCCAACTGCTGCATCTACATGTCCAGTTACTTGTAATATTATATCAGATATATACATGTGTGTGTATGTGTGTTTATGTTTGTATATGTTTACTATAACCTTTCTTTTAGAACTTTCTATCTTGTCATTGTAAGAAACCTTTATGCCTTCTGGGCCCAAAATTGGAAATAGAATTATCTTATCTTATCTTATCTTACAGGAAAACTTGTTAACCAAAAGTTATTCCTTTTTAAGTGTCCTGATGCGGATTTATGATATTTATAGCCAAAATAAAATTTTTCAATTTTTGCACTGTAAATTTATAGCCCATTTGGGATATTATATCCCAAACGGACTATTATATCCCATTTGGGCGATTGGTCCCAACCTGTTTATTTTCATTTTATTGAGATAATTAATCCTCGACAAAAACATTGATTTTGACAAAAGGACAAATTGCACAAAATTCTATAGGGACTGACACATGAAAAAGAATAGTAAATAATAGTACCTTATCAGGCTTATGTAATCAGAATCAACACATGATCAATTTGAGATCCAGAGGAAATTCGAGTTGTGACATGTGCGTATGAGGTATTTTGCGTTTTATATGTTTATTTACTATTGACAATTTTCTCCTGGTGTCAGATCACGTGCATCTAACAAAAAATGTAAAATTTACCTAAAATCACAAACGATATATCACTACTATGAAGTTTTGGTTACTACATCTCTCAGGCAAGCGGTGAAAAGACTTCGCTATTGGTAAATCTAGTGCCCTGTACAACCGACGCTCAACTCCCGGAATATTTGTCTTGCTTTTTTACGCCCCCTTCATCGAAGATCCAGGGGTATATACTTTTTTCATACTTTATCTTTTGACTTTTGACTTGTTGGAGGCTTGGAGCTGTGGGTTTCATAATATATATATTTTTTTTTAAATTAATCACATCACATATGTCACGTGCTTACTATAGTGACATGGCCTAGCTAGCTCTCTTTGGGTATCAATCAATATACAGTGTATTTGACATCTTTACACTGACCTTGGAGTTTAACCCATTTACCTTGGCCATAACTTTTGAATAGTTGGTGATAGGGCTTTTATATTTTACATTTATAAATATTTGACAAGACCTCTAAAAACTATTACTAATTTAGTAACCTTGGCTTTAAATTTTGAACAGTTACAACCTATAGTGCTTTCATCATGTTCATATTCACTCCTTGTGACTTTTTTTTTACCTTTCTTTAGAATACAATAACATTGATTGATTTATGCATAAGGTAAACCCCTAATGAGGCTGGTTTTATTACAAATATGAAATACTGTTCGTTATCTCCATATGATTCAGGTGCTATACGAGGGGTGTTTTTTTTTTTTTTTTTTTTTTTTTTTATAATGCTTTATTTTTGAAAATGTTTATACTTACAAAAGAAACAAAATACACACCCTCACACACCCTCACACACCACATGCACTCTGTGCACTATACGAGGGGTGTTAGAAAAGTTCGCGGACAAGTTAATTCTATTCTGAGCGCGCTATTTCCACGAAACCAGTCAAACTTTCCAGATAAAATCTTTACCTTTTTTCCAATAAATACACAAGAATTTGGTGCTCCCCGATGATTATTGAAAAATATACAGCTTTTTTATTTTGAAAAAAAACTTGCTTCACGGAGCATGCTACATTTTGGCACCTTTACATCACAAAGACTCTTTATTAAAATTAAAAATTGTACAATTGTACCGCAAAGAGTTTTGTGATATTTTACCTGCCGCTAAAGAACTCATGAAACGTCACTGGGAGAAATTTTGAACGAAATTGGAGCGTATCAGTCATTCCCATATAATTCATACAAATGAAAAAAACGCGATGTCGCCAATACATTTCAAAGCTATGGTTACTGATATTCAAATTATTCCTTGACCCTTTATGTTAACATATTTCGCCACACAAAATAACATTAGCTGTTATATTTTTTGATATTTTTTCTCCCAGTATTTATACAGAAGGAAGCCCGGAATCATGTAAAAAGTGATGTCGCCATCGTATACCTTGTCGGTTGAATATGCATTACCTGGTCGCATTTTGCTTGCTGATTGCTTGCAATATTCCTACTTGAAAATAGCGTTTATTTTATTGTCCAAAAATTCTGTTATCTGGATTTACACATATTAAGTCAATATTTTTTATGTTTGCAGTTCAGAATTTCTTCTGTTATAATTTAGTTGTATATTGATAAAGCTTCGAAGTTCAATAAAAATTAAAACATGAAGAAAGATTTTAATAACTTTACAGCTGCTTTTGAGTTATAACCTCCGTTACGGAGTTCTTGCATGTGGTGAGTTGGAATGGCCATAAAAACAAAACGAAGAAAGATTTACGTATAAAATTTCATTTTATTAACAAAGGATGTTTATACTTTATCAATCAAACTCAAAATTATATCATTGCTGAATGCTCTTAAAATCGTTTTTCAATACTATGGACTTGGTAACTGTATGAATTATACGGGAATGACTGGTATATGACTGTTTTATAGCCGTTTATAACTGCATGATCAACGCTTAAAAACACAGCCAAAAATCGGAACGTCATTGAGCGTCATGGAGCACTGCACTACGTAATCAAAGTACTCAGAAGTACAGAGAGCCGGGCTCATTTACAGAGTAAAATGGATTTCTTACATGAATCACGTTTATATTCTGATGAAAAATTATTTTAAAACTATCAATATAAATGATAAGACACTGACAGTGAGTTTTTTAATCCTAATACCACAGTCCGATTTTGTCAGAATCAGAATTAATCTGGTACCGCAGCTGAATGTAAACAAACAGGCCAGTCTGGTTCCCTCTCCTGCTTTACCTCGTATGTGTAGAGAACTACGGTAACACTGCATGGTTATCAAAAATCCTTACGCTAATGAACTATGTTTTTGACTTATGAAGTTTTCAAAGTCATTACTACTAATGTTTATTTTATATAGATAAAACTTCGTTTTATTTTTGTTGCTTTATTTAGCGTTTGTATTATCTCAAAAACGGTTGAGAGTAAGAGCTATATTTTTGCGTAACTTTAAAATGGCGACTATGGGGTCAACATCCTGCCTTGAACAAGATCACATAAGCCGGCAATTGCTCTTTGAGCAATAAGCCCGGCTAAAAATTATGTATGCAGACTGGAAAATGTCTAAAAAGAGCTAGATTAAAATATTCAAAATGCTGCCGGGAATTTCCTACACCTACAAAAGACAAGTTTTCAAATGGTTGTAGCTTCATAAGAATGGAAGGATTAACATTTTGAATGATTAACCCCTTCGATACTTCAATACCCCCGTATCGCAAGGACGTTGCGTTGCGCCTATATGGTTTTGCATAGTTTCCATACCTGATCAATTAACTGCATAGACTTTTTTAAAGATCTCAATAATATCCGAATCAGTACAAAAGACATTATATAGAAGAAAAATAACATGTACTGATATAGATATTCAATTTTAAAGTAGAAAAAAGATAAGAAAAATCTGAAGAAATGAAAGATTTATAGAACTGCGACAAAGCTTAACCGGTTGAAATCTGGTTGTCACGTCGCCTTACGTCAAGTGATTGCTCCGTGAATCCCATGACCTCATAGTAAAAACCGTTGTAAATTTTCAAGATTTTATTATATGGACCTGATTTTTTTACATACGGGTGAAACACTATAAAAGGGACAGTAAGGTTGCACTTGAGGGTAAAAAATTAATGTCTTTATTTTGGTCCATAATTTTTTTCTTCTAAAAAGTAGATTATCTCAAGGATCTGAGACATAAACGGTTTTGTGAAATTCACATTAGAACTTTGTTTTTTACAGGCTGATAATAACCTAATTTACACAGGTTACGGACACTACAAGTGTTGTTGTTTTTGAAATAAATATTGAAAACTGTTTATAAACTTTAATTTTTTCAACTGCTCACAAACAAACAACATATAAAAATACAAAATATGGACAAAAGTTGTAATAAAAAAGGTTGCATTATACTTTAATATGAAAACAGTTCTTACTTTGTTCATTTTTGTTTAAAATGGTAGTATTTCAATTTATGTGAACTCTTTAAAACCAATATAAATAAAGAAAGAACTATTTATAAATAACATTTTTTATGCCTTTGTTGAAATATAAATACTTCCATTAAAATAGGAAATATCATTTTTATTATTTTGTAAAATAATTTGATAGCTTCATTAAGTTACGGACACTACAAGACCCAAATATTTATGATTGGCTTTTGGTTTGTGGTAAAAAAAAAAACATTTTATAAACTTCTGAACTATTAGAAATCAGATTTAAATGATTATTAAATACAAAATGCATGAAAATTAGATATTGTTTCAAGTAAAAACAATTCACTCGCAGAACTAATGCCAATAGTAAAAAAAAAATCCAGTTTAAGAAATCCTGAAACTTCCTTTTTGCACATAAATACATATCTGAAGTGCATAAGAGAAGTTCTCTAATTCATTAAAGTTTTACGAAAACTACTTAGAATATAGGTACACTGATCAACGAAGTCAATTAACCAAATTTAAGGGTTACGGACACTACACAATACTTAAATTTTTCACAGGCTTGAGGTTGAAGTTTTTGTTTTTCAGCCCTTTTCCTAACTTTTTTTCAGGATTTTATTTGTCGTTTCTGTTTCTCCCGATTTTTTTTTATTATTCGGATCTAAACTTCATCTGATAAAAGCATACCATAACCAATATACTTTGAATAAATATATACACATGTAACTTTATACAGGTTTTATGAGCAAGTAGAAAAGTCAAACCTTGAAGAATAAAGCTCACTTATATTTAATTTATTTTTTTTATTCTATGAAGCATTCTATTTTTCTTTAAACAGTTAAATATACAATAATTTATCTGAAATTGGTGTAATTTTAGTTGCTTTCTTTTTTGAATTTTTTTATAGTGTCCGTAACCAAATTACATCCCTACTGTTTAACATTTTGAATGCAAATTTACTTGCATTTAATACATTTTAAGATATTACCTAATAAGCAACTAGACAATTGATGCAATATATTACAAGAAATATGGATTATGTAACTCATGATGATAATTTTTAACTATTTTTATGTCATTTTGGATGCCCAGTCATTATTTTAAGTTCTAGAAGTAACGAAAAAAACCACCTAATCTAAAAGAATTCCAGCCAATAAACACCTTTTTATCTCTAAATTTAATAATACACTGGTTCAAAAATTTATCTGTAAATTTTATGGAGAAAAAAAATAAAAATATTCATTTTTCAACTTTTGGGTTACGGACACTACACTATACAAGTTATTTAAAATAGGATGTAACTTAACCTTAAATAGAGGAATTCGAACAAGATTTTCTTAAATGTAACACCAGTTGACTTAAACAATGAAAAAATAATAAAATGCTATTTGACTTAAGGATGTACAACACACCTACCCCCAAAAATTCCTGTCGTTTAATTTTCGTTATTTTTGTATATTTAGTACATAACTATATCTAATGCATGTATGCACATTTTGGACAAAATCGTTCGAGTGGTTTTTGGACAGGAAATTCCAAAAGTTACCACCCTTTACTTGTTTACAAGGAGAGAAAATTTTTAATCAATGAACTACTTAAACCTTGATTTTCAAAAAAGCCAGGTTAGATATAAATGTCAAATTTCATTGGCTTATT